AAGACATATATGATTTCTTAGGGATCGACGTCATCCTTTAGATCATCATCATCCATGTCTTCTTTCGTGTAACAATAGCATTTAATGTTCTAGCTGTTTTTTACAATTATAGCTGTATTAATAAGCAAATGTAATTAATAAATATCACTTGTAAAACACGAAACACGCTTAAAAAACTCAAAGTAAAATCTTTATTATAATTTTGTAAAATAATACGTGATAAAGGGCCGGCCGGCTAAGTAAAAAATGAAACTAATAAAAGATATTGGAGTAGATCACGTTTAAAGGGAGGAATAAAGCACGAAAAAATCATGCCCGCCGGCCCTTTGAAATTTAGTATATAATATTAATGGTACAGAGCTAATATACTTATATACACGCATTGACACTCCGTTAGATTTGCAGAAGGCTAGGCTTGGCAAACGGCAGAAGTGCAAGGAAAAGTGCCCTTTGACAATTCACTTCGTTCATGGTCAGTGATAGTAAACAAGAAAAAATGGAGAAAGTACTTAAATGAGTTGTATTTTTTTTGCGGAGCGGACTAATTACCCTTGCCAAAACATTCAAAGCACTGAGCCATCGTTACCTATGGTAACGTGATTATGGCTTTATTGAATTCCATAACTTGCCGAAACAAACTCGTGACAAGTGATTCGGGTAATTCTCCTATCATCACAATAATAACAACTTCTTTTTCATCCAAAGAATACCATATTTTTCCCGAAGCTTAGCTTCAAAAGAGGGAAATATTAAAATTTTTTCTTAGCAAAACACTCTAAGCATAGTGGATTTTTCACGTGATTCTGGTCACATTCGCATACATGCATTGTAGCTGGTTCATACGGTACCGCGATTCTCCACAAAGAGAATTATTCCATATTTAATTAGTGTTCGGCATCAAATATCTCACAAATATACTGTATATGTAGCGAAAAAAATGTACAAGAAGATATCATCAATATACAGATGATCCATTGGCGCTCCATGTTGCCTTCTCGTGCGGAAATAATAGTTATTGGTTTGCAAGTCCAGGAATTACAAATGTTTCATCCGGCGGTATGACAACAAACTCGAAAATTTTCCAGCTCACCAATCTAATACATGTATATCGTTATATCTTGAGTTTAAAATATGCACACTGCATGTTTTCCGCACATTTATCACATTACAAACACTCAAACCACATCACATACGCGCATAAATTTGGGAGAAATGTTTATTAATTTTTGTCTAAAATTTACTAATAGCTAGCTTATGGAGTAGAGAACTCTTCAGTGTGAAGTAAAAGATTTTACATTTAAGAATGTGTTATGTCCATACTAGAAATATGTATTAATTACATAATAAAAATATGATTCTAACTTATTTTCGGTTAGAATTTCCTCCAACAACTGTAACTTTGATGGGTTCTGGTGAGGGAGGGGATAATCTACAATAATCGGAACGAGATGGAAGAGGTGAAGTGTTAGAGGTAATTACCTCCAAAACTTTAGAAACGGAATCCTTCAAGTTACAAAGAGAGTGAGTCACATCGATAATAAACAGATATTTTTGAAATCAATAGTCACTTACTTTGACATTGTAAAATGTTTCCAATATCGGCATTAGACTTATAAATTGGGATTTTTGAGTGGGTATAACTATGTCTGCAATCAGATACATCCTGTATAATCCATCGTAATCTAAGTCCATTTGATAAATATGGATTTGTACTCCTATAAATGCAATCGAGTGTTAGCAAATGTATAAGAATTTAAACCAAATTTGAGCACTTACCATAAACCCACACTCCGAAGGATGTCATCCCAATCCTATTTCCATACTTTTTAACTAACTCATCCAAAGTACCGGATTGAAAGTTTGCTAGCTTGACAAGATCTTGAGAAACCAATAATAAAGAAGAGTTTTTATATTTTGGTGGTTTAACTTCACCAAAAAGAATCTCATCATTCGTGTTCACCGAGAGTTTAAAATCTGGTTTTTTACCTCGCGAATTTTCTTTATTATTACAACGTCGGCTTTTTGAGGAAGTGCTCTCGCTGTTCACCCTTTTATTTAAATCAGACATTGAATTATATGATTCAACTAACTACACAGCAAGCTCAGAAACAAACTCTTACCAGACCAATTCAAAATTTGAATCGCGAAAGATTTCCTTCAGTAAATCGTGTAACATTTCATGAACAAATGTGTCTTCGTTATCATTATTGGTTTTGGATCTCAGAAGTAAACTGTAAAAAGAAAGATATTCATTCAATTCAGTAGTATTACATTGATTATGATGTTTTAATACCTACTAGTTACGTAAAATAATTTGACTTCCACAAAATTTTTCTATATCATCTTGGTTGCTCAACTCGTTAACTTTTGAAAAATTTACACACCAAATTTTCTGGATATCATCCAGTGGTGTGAATGCATTCAATAGCTGGAATTTGGGAAGGAGCTTGAGATTAACTTATGAAGCAGTATTGTAACCAAATCTGAAAATGGGTATTACTTTAGAATATTCGAGAATAATATTTTGGATCACATCTGGCAGACTTTGAGGCACTTGTCTTCGGCATATATGGTTCCAAACTGTTTTACTGCAGGTAAGATATGATGGCTTTGTCTGTTCTATAAGCATTATATTGGACAGACAACTATTTTATCATAAGGTTGTTAATGACTTCATGTATAATGTGAACATAGTCGTAATTCAGGATACAATACTTACAGAATCTTATGAAAATCAGTTTTAAAGGATAGAAAGGGGTTCTTTTCAATTTCTTGAATTGTTGACAGTTGAAAATTACGAAATTCAGCAGAGAGATTATATTCATCAAGAATTTACTGAAAAAAGTGCGCAAGTATAGTTCGTTAATATACTGACAAAATATTAATCACATTGAAGCCGTACTCACATCTTTTTTAGATTCATTTCTTATATCAGTCCTGTCAATGACATTTTCCCAAGAATAAAGAACTTGTGATCGTTTCTAAACAGAATATGATCAGTACATCAATTTTTTTATTTTCTGGCACCCAAAAATGACAATACCTTAGCCAATCAATTACGTGCATCGAATTGCTCAGACACATCTATTATATACATTTATAACGGTACATATTAAATCCGTGTTTAAAAATATGACAAAATACAAAACTAACGTGTTACCATCTCCTTCGTTAGGCTCAGTACTGTGATCAACTTTATTTATTTTTGAATCGGCCGGAATTAAGGAATTGTAACAGACCCCGTCAGACGAGGTTTTTTCGGATTTACTTGATTGCTAGGAAGGAGATCATCGATACGATTTCGAATCGCCTTTCCTGTTTTCTTCGTTAACCTCTTGTCAACAGAAGCCTGGCAAGATGTAAAGAATTTTAGGCTTGGAAACAGTACACTAGCAAAACATGTTTAACAAACCTTTTCCTCCCTAAGAACACGATTACTCTGTAATTTTTCATAATAATTATTCATTGCTTCTGTATAATAACCACTTTTATAGTTTCGTTCTAGTTGAATGAGTTTTCGATCGTCTTTAAAAATTCCAAGACTTGCGTTGAGCGCAGAGCACCAAGCCGATAACCTATTTTCTTTGACTTGTAATTAAACTTTTTAAAAAATTTTACCGGCGTTGGTTTTTCTTTAATGAAAAAATCAACTTGTAAGTCATACATTATGAAATGATAAGTTTACGAAATATCATCATATATATATATCATATATCAGATTCACATGAGTTTATTTGTGCTACGTGCTACTGCCTACAAGTAACGCGAAACGCGTCACATTTTTCCATCTGATATTTTCATCGTCTAAAAATGCTAATTTTTCTTCTTTACTTTCCCTTGAAAATTTAGTCTGCCATATATAAGAAACATTAGTTTCTTTTTTCTACCTTTATAAATCAGCTAGTGTCCTGTGAGCTGTGATCTGGCATAGATTGGCAAAAACTACGGTTATTCTTCCTTGGAAGGCTGGTTTGTAAATACCTTTCTCAGAAGGCTGGTTTGTAACCAGATTCTCTCACAGAAGACAGTATAACTACTGAGCATTCTGAAGAACTACGGTTAACCCATAGACTAAGGTTTGTGGCTCATGCTTGGTTTTCAAGAATTATACTGTAAGCGCGTATGTGAAACCGCAAGTTTTCCTTTTGATATTTTGTTAGTACATTTGACTTTTTTTTCAAGCAGAACCATATTAATCACTTGTACTAATAATATTTTTGATTTTCTAGCGAAAGGACTGCTTGACCCTATAATGTAGGCTACTACAGGGTTAGTCAAAAACTATGGTTATTTCCTGGTGTTTTTTTTTCAAAAACTACGGGAGACACCTGTTATGATTTGCGTTTATAGAAGACAATACACTAACTTATCATTCTGAAGAACTACGGTTATCCCATAGCTCCTAAGTTGTGGTTCATGATAAGTTTTCAAGAGTGTGCATTGTGCGCTCAATCGTTGACTCAAACATTTTTATCAATTTGGTATATCAAAAATCAAGCATAACTAATAAATTCCAACAGAAATTTTATTGATTTTTTCAGATATATTAATGAGGCTAGAGAAGCAAATGAAATGATGATGCTATCAAAGAGGGAGGGAGTACGCGGATCCTAGGCCATTTAATGCGAGTCACAGCATCAAGTTATTTCTTTGCTTTCACACTTTTCCGATAAATTTCTACGACTAATTTATTTCTATATCAATTGCTAATTACTAGATTCTCATAATAATACTCTCTTTCTACACTAGAATTCTGAAATAAATTATCCCACCCATGTCTACAGGATTTTTGTCTTTCTATATCTCTCCAAACACGCAGATTATGTAAAATAATATTCCCCCTAATGAAACTTCTCGGGGATTAAGTAATTTCGAATCTATGGATAAATTCGTGAAATTAGCAACTGAGGTAAAATAATAAGAAATGCAATATTTAATATTTCCAATTCATGCTTACCATGATTCATTTTCACAACATTCCATTCCGCCTCATATACAAGAAATTTATTGCTTAATTTTTTCTGCAGTACGATACTGCGTAAGGTTCAAGAATTTGGCACGTGAATATGCTTTCCAGCTTATATAAGATAAATTTTTTGATGCACTGCGCCAGACTTTTGCTGTGCCATTGCATGTGACGAAATTCATGTGAGTAATTACTGTGTCTATTGTACGCGTGATGATGGTCAGTGATTTTCTCGGCGAAGATCAAAATGCCGATATATAACAAGAAGAGTAATACGTCCGTTTTATTATGAAACATCTATAGCAGAAAATCGATTAAGATCGTGATGACATATTTCAAGGAGCTAGCCGAGCAATAAACAACTTACTTTATTATTACTTTGCGGAAAATACGAGTTTGTTTGATTGTTAATATCAACGATTTTAATAATGGTAAGTTTTAATCTGTTTGAAACTTTATTAAAATTTTTGTTTAATATTTTCACTTGATTTTTGCTTATATTTGCACAAGGTGGATAAAAAGACTCACTAACTGGGGTATATTACCTTTTTATATAATTTGCAGTGGGTCTAAGGTCTTTGCAGGAAAATTTCATTAATACAACAAATCCGATTAAATCACCAAAATGGAATATTTATTAAGGATTACGCGTCTTTGGCTAATATTAACGGGCAATAAAAAATTTCCATTTATTCTGTGCAATCTGTTAACAGACCTTACACCGATTTTCTTTTTCGTTCCATTCTAGCATCATGATCTTCCGTATTTAGGGACACTAGAACCCTCAATTCATAAAAATGAGATAAATTATTTGCTAGAACTTTCGGGAAAAAAATGCATGACGAAAGTGCTTATACACATGGTTTATCATAAATAGAACATTAAAAATAGATGCACTGTGATTAGCATTAGATCAATATAAAGACGTAGCCAATTTTTAAATAAATACAAATCGGGATAATGCCCATGATACACTGTATAATGTTTTATACTAATATAAATTGCAGACTTTATTTTTTTATGCAATAACCTCTATTCTAACATGCTTGAAAAAATTATAACATTTTGGTTTTGAAAAAATTGCGCATGTAAATCTTGAGTTGCACAGAATATCAACCAACTCAATTGATATCACATGACCAGTCTAAGCCACAATCGCGAATTTGAATTTTTTACCTGAAGTGAAGCAAGTAAGACAATATTCTGTTTTATACCATTCGCCATGTAATCCATAATTCCCACGTTTTCTATCGCAAATAGGACATGGTGAGCTCCACGGCTGAGGTGATGCAAAATTATAATTATCAATCCCTCTAAAACTATTTCCGAATTTCAAGTATGGGAAGTGCTCTAAGACGGATTTGATAATTAATTCTGGATTGGGTCTGACTTTGAAGGTGATAGGCTTGAAATCAGAGGCTTGACCGGAGGCGCTAAAGCAAGATTCTGCTAACATATCTATCACAGCTTTTGGTAATTGCCATGGCTCATTTCCAGTTTCTTTCTTATATGTTTTATATAATTTGGAGTGAATTTTATCTGTCAAAACACTTGGTAACCCACTTAATTTGGCATGCCAATCTAGATATTCGGGGTTAATACTTTATCAGACTTGGTTATATTGTCTTTTATATGATTGCAAATCAATTTAATTTATAGCAAGTATAGTCGATGTAAATTAACTCTATAAAAAAAATAGTTTCCCAAAGGAATGCAAATAAATATACAGTATTGTAAAATAACAAGACCTATGCAGTTATCTCAATTTCACACTGTTCACACTTAATAAAATAGGATCCGGTTTTATATCTACCTTCTATGCTTTTCTCATCATGACCTAATTTGCATAATGAGCATAATGTCTTATCAGTAATACCATAATAATCAATATCTTCACTACTATATTCTCTATATAAGTTGTGATATTGATCCAATGTCTTGTTGCGAAAATAGGAGTGGTCATGGACTGGACTCTCAGGTTGAGAAATAGGTGGGGTTGATTTGCTTACCTCAGCTGAATCTAAGCTTTACTCTTACGCTTCTAATGCATTAATCTGATTGTTTTTTGGAGTCTGATAATCACCAGTGATCGCTTTAGAAATCATGTAGTCTATAATATTTTGAATTTGAGTTTTGTTAAGGTTCGAGATTGCATTTGCACTATAAGTAACTTGTTTTATTTTTTTCACGCCTACTGCATTAAATAATTTATATAATTTTCTGGCCCTAGATAGTTGCTGACGTAGATTAACATTACTAATATCTGAAAGTAGTTTTTTAACTTCTTGGTATACTTGTTGTTTCGCAGTATTGATTTTAACTTTATTGATAATACGAATTTCATTAATTCTTTTATCATAACTTTCTGCAAAGCCATACTAGTGTAAGATCTCTTCATAACCAGAACGAACAGCTTTTCGAAACATATAGACTATACACTCAGCTGTAACAAAAAATTGTTGTTTTTTATTGATTACTGGTAGGGTGAGCGAAATTTCTGTGTCTATACTAGTGGATGGAATAGATATTTGTTGCATTAAATCACGTTCTACTACCTGCCTAAAAGGAACAGTGAAATCATCATCCTCAGGTAAATCCTTTCTAAAGGATAAGCCACAGTCCAACCAGTTATCCTCTATAGATTTGTCAATATTTCGATCATGAAAATTGTGAATTTTATTTACAAAATTGCCGAAAAGTTCTGATTTTTCTGAAATGCTCTGATTCTTTAGCTTATCTAAGTTATTATCATTATTAGTTTTTGCTATGTAAGCAGATTCGGGAGTGATGTCCTGGTTAGCTGACTCACGTTGAATTTTCTTTTTATTGTATCGCCTAATATCTTCACTAACGCTTTTCTTATCTACCTTATTCAAGAAATTATCCATCTCTTTCTCCTGTGATGATTTTTTATGATGGTCTGTACCTGAATTGAAGTTAGATGAGTTATTATTAGAGGTATTACAGTCTGGTGTTTTTCCATATATAGAATTTCTAATTATGTAAATGATCAACATTCTAGAAGCTTATTAAGATTGACGGTGATACAAAATTTAAAAAAAAATTTTTTTATTTAACGTTGCGATAAAAGCATATACTTTGAATTTTACCCTGCTATTTATATTGTATCTTC